GACGAAACAGTTTGTCACAGCCCCTCGTTTGTTGTCCTCTTCTCCCTCTCTGCCTACGGTTTACCGGGCAGTTCTATTTGACGATATATATATAGAGAGAGAGGATATATATGTATATATCGTCAAATAGATATGTATATATAGAGAGAGAGAGAGTGGACACATTCATGAAGGAAGAGAGAGAGAAGTGAGACAGAGAGAGAGGAAGTCACCTACCTGGATGAGGATGCTGGACATGGACTGCTGAGCTCTGCGCTGCTGAGCGGTGGTGACTGGAATTCTGAAACTGTTGAATATGATAAGTCGTTGGAATTTTTTATTTTTATTTATTTGTTTAAATTGGACCATTTCTCGATTTATGTGTGTCATCCTTGCACAGGGGCCATGCTAATCTTCTCTGTATTGTTCCAATTTTAACGGATGCCCCGAAGGACGAATTCGTTGGTTGGAATTTCTAAGCTTCGCTAATCTGGACTTCGCATCTTTGGTCTCCACTGTGCAATTTCGTGTGATCTCTCATTGTGTATGTGCTTGAGGTGATGAACAACGTGTTCACTGCATGCATGTGTACTGGGTGCAACTTCGTTGTCTCGTTTGCCAGGTGCTCAAAACTGCATCTGGTGGTCTGCATCATGTTGATCACGATGCCCGGGTGTGGGTGTATCGCCGATTCTTAAGCAAAAGGGAAAAGGCATGGTCTACGCTAGTGTGTTTTTTAAGCTCAGAATAATTGTCTGCATAGAGGCACAACAGACTGTATGGTAAATTGTGCAGCAGGAGTCCGATGCTGCATACGGCACCACGTATCCAGGCCTCCGTTAATTCCTTCATACCAACACTAAGGTCAACGAGTGGCAGGAGTTTTATGTCAACTGTCTTTTGTTATTCACTATTCAATGTATTCATCGACTCTTGCCATGGCTGTATGTATGTATGAAGTGGCTTCTTTGTGGGTGCTGACCTTGATGTGGATCTTCGTGGCAACAGGTGTTTGGTTAACGGATATGTAACTGCCTTCTTGCACCCATAACCCATAACCCATAAATCGACGCATCAAACGAAAAGCCAGTTAGCTCCTTGTAATAGACTCTTGTCGCGGTTGTTGAGTTGCTTTTAAACATTTGATAATTTATTAATTTGATTTGATGGGGATGTTGCTCTGAGCTGGGATTCCCCATTCATTGGCTTTTGCTTCAAGATTGGCACTGAGACCGAACCTGGGAGAGAGTCTGCTACGACTGCAGAAGACATCTTTTCTTTTGGCTACTTTTTTTTGTGTGTTGGGGCTTTCTTCTTTGTTGAGATGTATGTCTGAGGCCCTTGATCGATAGTGAAAGCCATGTTTGGTCACTCATGTCTGTGCATATTTGTTCTCATGTCCCCCTGCAGAGGCTAGCGGACCTCTCTACATCTGCGAATCCACAGCTTATTGACGGCATTCTTCTAACGAAGTTTGATACCATCGATGACAAGGTGAGCTTTGCAGGAGTCAGCTCAACTTTCAGTTCAATTCAGTATTGTAGTGGGTATTCTCACTCTTCTAGTACTCTGCAGGCGAAGCTTGCTCTGTTCTGAAGCCTCCTGTCACTTCTGCTGCTCTTGTTGAAATATTGATTGTTTACCCCCTGTTGAACTGCTTGTACTTACTTTGGTGGAGGAAATCGCCTTTGTGGCCCTGATCCCTGTTCCCTGGAGATCCCTACGCTATTAAAATCGCTGAGGGGACAAATCTAACATCCGGGCCGTCGTTGGTCCTACCGGCCCACGGCCCAGATCGACCGAATCATGTAACAAATCTGTCATCTGGGCCGTCGGGTCCTGCCGGATCGACGGGCCGGATTGGAGCACGGTCTTAAGATCTTAAGATCACGCGTCAATCCAGGCTGTTGGCCCGGTATAGCGAACATAACTACACAGACACAGACACAAACACACCCACAGAGACAGAGACAGAGAGAGAGAGAGAGAGAGAGAGAGAGAGAGAGAGATGGGACACGTCTTGCAGCACAAACTACTAGGCTTGATGGATCGATTGGGGCATGAGAGGGGGCGGAGAGAGAGAGAGAGAGAGAGAGAGAGAGAGATTGATCGACTGCAGTCGGCCGTTGGATGTGGTGAGTGGTTGGCCGGCGTCACGGGTAGGCCGTGAGATGTGGTGGGCACAGTGATTGGCATGCAATGTTCGACCGTCGATGCCTGACGACGCACAAGAACCCCCTCCCCCTCCTCCCAAGAACCCCCTCCGCACAGTGATTGGCCGGGAGACTCAGGTCAGTGGTCCCCCTCCCCCTCCTCCCAAGAACCCCCTCCTCCTCCTCCTCTGCCCC